ATCCTGTTTTACAATTTTCTGTTTAAAAAAATACGGTTTATGTCCAAACTCCGCACACTTTCATCCACCCGCCCACTGCCTTTGAAGATTCTTTGATCTCAATTTGAAATTAATTAAAAGTATGTAAAGTTCGAAAAGTAACGGAAAATAAACGATTGACAATCGTTCTCGCTTCTTCCACACCTAAACAATAGCATCTGACGACGATGTCCTCCTAAAGCTTAAAGGTCTATTAAAAATGCTCGATGGGTGAAAAATATTTATCTAATATCGTAATCTATAAAAACAATAAAAGAATCTTATTAATCTTTACGCGTACTATGCTTTTACCTTGTCTTTTAGTACAGTCTGTAAAGTCTATTTCGAAGAATGATAAGTTAATTACACCACAAACAAAACCGATTGTCTACACAAAACGATTCTATAAATATATTGTTGTACAAACGATTAATCTTCATCGTCTTCTCATTTTTACCCAATGTATAAACGTAAGTCTATTTCCTCTCCTTTTCTCTTTTTCTACTTTTTAGTACATATTGTGAGTGAGTGTCGTTTTTGTCATATATACCATCGTATAACACAAAAAAAAAAAAAGATTGGAGTTCCGGACAATTTTTGTTTTCTGTTTTTTGTTCTCTTTTCTGCTGTATAAAGCTATTTAAATTAGACAATAAGACCAATAATTGCTTATATTATTTTCTTCTACTCATATAATCTGTCTTTATTCTGGGATTCTCTGCTGTTACGAATGATGGTGGTCATAACTATTGAGTAATTTATCATATTCAATCGTTTCTTAGTTCTATTATTGGGATCACTCAACAGAAACCGCAATGTTGTCGAATTTTTCTTCAAGAGTTTAAACCTTTTTGCATACGATAAATGAAACGATCATCTATCTTTCATCAACGAGTATAGACACAGTCGTGTAGCAGACATACTATCCCATCCCAAGACAATGTAAACTAGAAAGAGAATGAGAAAGATGTGTTGAATTAATCAGACACTCATCCGTTCAACCTTTATTCAACACTAATTCTGATTTTATTTGAACAAATGCGACATGAAACAAAAGCTCAATAAAAGAATCAACTAATATAATAACAATACACGAGATACTCTCTTTTATACTTTACAGAATGCCGTAAGAAATGACTTGGAAACGGCAATAGTGTGAATGTATAGAAGCTAATTTCGAGATTTTAGCGCTTAATTTTGTGCAGAATTAAAATAGATTATCAAGCACTATATTTTTTCTTTTACGTTGTTTGAGTCACTGGAGATTCTATCTTTTTCTATTAGTTTAAAGGAAATTCAAGCACATTCTGTTCAGCAGTGTAGGTGGTTGAAAAAGTTTCATAGAACAATATGCTTGTCCTTAGACTGACGTCTTTCCATAAAGAAAAAATGGATGTCTAGTCAAAGAACCTTAGATGAATGAGTGACAGACAAGGCGAAACATCGAAAAAAATGCCAACTATGAGCACATAAGATTAAATCTACACAAGGTTTTATATTAGAAAGTTTTTCCTAGTTTTTTTTTTTTTCTTTAAAAACTAATCAGTAGATGTGTCAATCAAAAGTGTTGTTCACAATTTGTCAAACAAATAATAAACAAAAACTTGCTAAATAAAAACAGCTACATCAAACGTGATATGTTTGTTAAGATCAAAATAGAGAAAAAAAAGAGCTTAGTTTTCTTTGCATCCTTGAACAATGGTTCTTTTTCAAAGTATACATTCGATAGACTAAGTTGTTTAAAACAAGCCTTATACAGAGATATCGAGTATCATACTATGATGTGACAACTAATAACGTTTTTTATTGCACGAGATTTCAGTAACAAAGTTGGCATTTGAAATACAAGTTTGCTTCATTCATTTCAAAATCTGCTAATTTTTTCTTCTCTTCTTCTGAAACGGATTACTAGAGGATAACGATTGAAACATTTCAATAAGAGCAACAGAAATAAATGTGCCGTTATTTTCTAAAAATTGAAACAATAGATCAAGCTTATACAAAAATATTTTATTTCAAAGATTAATCAACACAAAGATGATCCGATTAGACTAATACATTCATCACACAAGAGAAAACCTTGTTAGTAAGATTTATTGGAATTACTCATTCTCAGAATTTATTCGTCATCTTTTACTCTATCTCTATGATGAATCAACGAGAGAATTTTTTTTCTTTTAAATAGCATAGTCGAACTAGTTTATGTATATTTATCACTATTCAAGAAAAAGAAATATAAAATTCAAAGAGAACAAACATATTTTACATCAACTGTCAAGCTTCCCTAGAGATTTTTATTACAGTCACTTTTTTTTCGATATATCTGATACGTTTGTGAACCTTGTTCTGTAAACTATTAAATAAGCGTATAAATTTATTATTGTTTAGATCAGTAATATAGCCCCACCCTGCCGTTGATTTACATAATCATTCATTATAAAAGTTAAATGGCATAAAGTCAGTTATAGTCACTATATGTTAAGAGTAGTTCACGTATATGCTGTTTTTTTATATAGAAACTTCTCTTCTATTTTTTTGAAATGTCAAATACACTCTTACTCTGATAACCTTTTATTTGCTGGTTGTAGTATATCGATTATTGAAAAAAAAAAAATAATAATGAATAAATGGAAAAAGAATATATAATGATTTTTTTCAACTTCTAATTATTACGTATTATTTGCAATCAACTATACCATCATGTCGCGCAAACCAGAAGATATCCTCATTAAAAATAAAATGATTTATAGATAGGAAAACTACTATTATAGAACAGAAAAAATGTAAAAAAAATCGTTTTATTACTATACATCGTTAAACAGCATGGCAGCTTGTTGTTTTCTTTGTCTCTAATCAGTTGTAAAATTTTATTTAACACATGAAACAAATTGCTAATCTAATATTTGAGATTCTAATTCGAATCAATTACTATATAATATCATTGCATCTGATCCCATTATTATTTTCATTAACTTTCAGTTTTTCTTTTCTTTTTAGCCTGTAGTTCTCTTCTTTTTTTTTTATCAGTTTGCTGATTTTCGTTATGAAATCTTTGTTGTATCCTGTATGATAACAATAAAATCTTTGTTTAGCAACACCACTTTTCGTTGTAACCACTGAACAGGTTTCTTTTGTTTTCCTCTCTTTTCCGGTCGTTCGAGTAAAGAACAGAGAGGGGAATGTTTAGATATTTAACATTTTTATTTCGCTTTTTTCTTTTTTTTTACTGATACTGTAACATTTTTTCTTTATTTTTTCATCCGATATCGCGAGTTACTTCAAGAGTAATTGACAGATAATTTCACAGATGTCGAAACAATTATATTCTACGGTAAAAATCTAAGAATTATTCCACGTAGACATACACACACACGCACAAAAAAAATCAGTTGATTGATTTAAATTACTTGTACAAGTTTGTCCTATCATAAACTTAACTTTTCTATAAAAAGTTGACGTCTAACTACACACACACACACACACACACACATACACATACACAATGTCTGTTTGGATAATTTTACTTTCCAACTATCGAACTTCTCTTCAATTCTTTCTTTGCTTCGCTTTTATCATGAGGGAAAATGACTTGTTATATTATTCCCTCCTCAATGCCGTCTGTATACCTCTTTGCTTAATAAAAAATTTTTTTTATTGATTACATACACATGATCATGATTTTTAATTAGATGATACTATTTTTACAAGTGATTTCGTTTCTCGATAATTGTTAATCGCGTAAAGATACGTCTAAAACACATGCTATGAAACAAAAGTTCAATGCTTTTGTGACAAATACTAATAGTATGTTTCATGGTAACAATTGGTGAGAAAATGAGCTATATATTGCGTAACGTTAAATGATTATTATCGTTCATAACGACTATTATTATTATTATTATTATTTTTGTAGTAGAGAGATAGATCTCAAGTACATCGAAAAAATATAACAAACAGTTAGATTTAAATCTGTCATACATCAAATAGACGTGATATCAACTGAGTCAAATGTGTAAATCTAAGAAATTATTTTTTTAACTAAGAAATAACACAAAAGATCATTTTTCATGTTACCGAAAAGATAGTTTAAGTTTGTCTTGAAGCTCTTTTCCTTTTCTATTATGAAAAAGAAAAAAAAACAAATCACATTTTTTTTTTCTCTCCCCACAGAAATCATTTACTTATATATATATATATTAATTAAATTTATATTTGCTTTTACATTTACCTGTACAAAATGGTAACAGCATGACGTATAGGATGTAGAACGAGAATTTTTTTTTTTTAATTATAAATGGTCATCGTTGTTACCAAAGTTAATAGCTTCACATAAAAAGAGTGTGCATATACTTTCTATCACAATAAAAATATAAATGCTCAAAAGGGTAATTAAGACTCTCAGCCTGTAGAGGTCATTACATACGCCTGAAACTCTGATTATATAATAATTCCTCATGTTATTAATAATAAAAAAACCAGTATCTTACTTTTAATGGTACTATGGAAAATAAACGAATAAAACTTTATCTATTCATATTATTAATGAATATAATAAAAAAGAAATGAATTTATAAAACTATATACGACAATTCATGAGCAAAAACAAAATATGTTTCCCTATTCTAAATACTATGTAGGTAGTTGAAATAGAGATGCTAAACAAGTACTAACATTTTAAGATTTCCTATATATTAAAAATATTATTTTATATGAAATTCAGACTTGCACATAGTCAATAAGACATAAACAATCGCTATGATTCATAATGATAGTTTGAATCTTTTTTGTTTTTTGTTTCATTTTATACAACAATAACAAACATACACAAACGCACATATCAATGCAAAACAATAACAATATGATATGTTTTTTTTTTGTTTGTTCTTTTTACATCAACAAAAAAAAAATGATTAAGACAATGGAAAGAAAGACAGAGAATTTGCCTAAATGAAAAATTTGTTCGTAGTATTTTTAGAAGCATTCTATCCACGTCCTCGACCACGTCCACCACCAAAACCGCCACCTCTTCCACGACTTCTACCACGACCTAAAAGAAATCATTTATAAAAGTTTAACTGAAGAAAGACATGACCAATGTAATTTACCTCTTCCTCTTGGACCCCGTGAACTACTACTGGCACCTAAAACAAAATATGAGAGAAAGTTTAAATTAGTGTACATAGTTCAATGATTGCGAATAAAAAACAAACCTGGTCGTTCACGTTTGACTTTCGTCTTCGGTGTATCCTAAAAATAGAAAATAGAATCCAGTAAACTGATTAACAACAATTCTAATTTAACTACTCACATCAACAAGTAAATTATCTAAGGGTAACGAATCAGGTAATATAAAATATCGAATATTATTGCCACGTATTGTAATAAAATCTAATGCGATCGATTCACCATTTTTCGGTATCAGTTTAGCTGAAACGATATCTCAGGTATTAAAAATAATTTATTTCTATTAATAAATCACATGTGAGATAACAAGTGAGAGGAGAAAATGTATCAGCCATAGTCAACCAGAAAAAGAAGACAACGTTTTGTCATATTTTGTAAAATAGGATGATGATGTTGAAAAGATTCTTTTCTTGCTATATCGTCATTTTCGAATTAAAAAATCTTAAATTATTCTGTTATTATCATTTTACCTGATTTTAAATGTGTATTCATTGACATATCAACGCCAATAACTGTACCAAAAACATTGGTGCCATTTTTGAGTGCTATTGTTACACTTTCATGAGTTAATTTCATAAGAAAACGCACTAGTTTCATTTTCGAATTTTTCTAACTCTGAACACTTTAAAAAAAATCTAAAGTAAAACAAATAACTCGAGAAAGAACTAATTTTCATACGGAAAAATCGTTAGTCTAGAGTGGAAAAAAGCGTCCATATAATCAAGTATTTTCTCAAAACAACCTGAAATAAAGAAGTAAACATTGAGTTTCTGCATTAAGTTTCTGCAGCTCTTACATGAAAATCTGTGATCATAAGTTAAACAGAATGTTTTCATGACGAATTGCACATACAATTTAATTTTTGAAAATACAGTCCATTTTGCAGTCTGCAAGAAAAAACAAACTTTACCATGTACAAGAGATATGCCAGAAATGTTCAGTCTCACGAAGAAAGATTGCGACCTGACTCTGTTCAATTGTTTACATTGCCTCTTTAACGCTCATTGCAGTCGCATGCACATTTTCCAGAAAACTTAAAGCACTTGCTACACGCAAGGTGTTATATAAAGTAGTGGGCCGACTAAAATACTTTTCAATTCGTGCATATCTCTCTGGTGTACAATTTAAAATTCAGATTTACAGTTTTTTATTTTCGAAAATCTTTGAAAAAAAATGAAGAGTTGAAGAGAAGAAAATTAGTGGGTAAAAAACACATAGTTCAAGTCTGTTTTGTTCTGTGAACTCGCTTTTCATCTCAATCGTTTACTATGAGATGAACAGTTAAACGATGAAATATCATTAGAAATGCTAGAGATAAGAAAACAATTTCAAGACGAAAAATAACTTGTTTTTGTGTTAGCGAACACCTAGCAATGTTTTTAATGAGAATTTTTTCCAGAATGGGACTTCCCATTTTGCTTTGAATATCAAAATATGTTTTCCTAGTTTCTTCTGAAACATAAAGTGGGTACAGTCGAAACAAAATTTTTTTAGAAAGTCTTTTCTATTGTCTCATAGCCACAGTTTTCGCACTTTTACTTCCATAAACACAATCAGCTTCCTTTCCTTTACCCTCTTTAAGATAAAAATCGAGTAAAGAAGACTGAAAGTTTAATTTTTTATAAGAGAGAAAAATATCAGCATATCTGCTGAGTAAAAACACAAGAAATACTAGAATAAACAAGTGTACACAGCTACAGATCTATATATACCAATAAAAACTACTGCTATTTACATGTTTTTACTATTATTGCATATTTGATAAGAGTTGACGGTAAACAAGAGCAAAAGTGGAAAACAAAGTAGGATAGATATTTTTTCCTCTTAGAGTGAACAGTAGGTGGGAAATTCATTTTTGGAAGTGAGAATCTACTTTGCTCTCGCACTGTAAAAAAAATAACGGCAAAACTATCAAAAAGTCACGGTAAAAGTGTATCATTATCGTCCAGAATACATTTATTAATAAGATGATGATGATACACTTTTACAATGACAATGTTATACTCGGGATACCAAAACTAACACTTAAACTGTGACATCGCTCTTCTGCTGGTCGGCTAAAACTTGGACTATGTCAGACGTTTTCCCTGTATAAAAGTGTGGCATTGCTACACTTTTAGTGTTATGTATGGTATTGTTATGATCGATGGAGAGGAAATCGATCGTAAATTTTAACAGTGTAGGAAAAGACAATGACTTGTCAAGTATGTCCGAACGAAGGGTCTCAAATTATTTTTTTCGAATGTGGGACAAAATGAGGGACGCTTATTTTAACGAAATAACGTCACGTCAATCTAAAATACCCGATGAGCTCAACTAAAGTCACATATTGCAAATAAATTAAAATCAATATTGTGAATTTTTTAACCATTTATCATTATTAGCATTACCCTCGTTTCTTCTTATAGTTCTAATTTAGAGTTCATTCTTTCAAAGCTAATTTTTCAAATTTCAATAATAGATTTTTCCTTTTAATTAGGTTTTATTGACAAATTCGTATCACACGTCTGATAAACCCTGAGGCGCGCACGACAGGAAGAGTGATGTTTTATGGGACGGCTCACGAATCTCCGAATAACTCTATTTGCAACAAACTATCCAAACACCTATATGATAATGATCTTTATGACAAGATATGCTAAAGAGGGCATAAATCTTTGCATATTATGTAATAACCCGCCAATCTTTCCTCCTCAAATGTGACGCTGAAGTAGGACTTCAAATCAATTGCCACTGGGGGACGAAATACGTCCCCCATGGGGGAATTATTTACTGGGGGACAAAATGGTCGAATAGGGGACATTTGAGAACGCTGGTTCAAACTCCTATTTCATTTCGAGCTTAACTTGTTCCTCAATGTGTCTTTCTTTTTTTTAAAATGTTCTAGACGCTATCGTCGCGGGTGCACTGAAACCATTGGTTTGCCAGAGATTAAAAGTAGAGAAAAGTGATCTAAGATACAATTGTTCTAGCTGAGTTTCAAATCTCTTTTGTACACTTAACGCGGAATCAATCAGGATCGCATCCCTAGCCATCAGTATATTTTTCGTATGACAACTTCTACGCATTCATTAATTTCTAGATTGACAGCGTAAGTATAACATCCAAAAATAAAGAAAACAATGATGAATTTTCTTTTGTTTTTTAAAACAAAGATGACAAGTTTTAAAACAATAATAACAGCAAAGGAAGAAAAAGATCCTACAAGTTCTTCCATTAATAAATCTGAAAAAACAATGCGCGCAACAACACTCAAGAAACTAGTTTGCAATTGTGTTGCGCAAAGGTTGCGATGTCGATAGATTCTATCTCTGCTGGCAGCTGCCAAAATCGGTTCCATAGCGAGCAGATTTTCACTACACCGCTTTCGATGTTAGTTTCTTATCGAGCAGCTGAAAAGATAGAATTGAATTAAACAGAAAAATGAATTAAAAGAAAAGTTTTTTTTTCTTTTTAGTAAATGGCGCTGAACAAAAACAATGGCCATGGAGAAAATAAAAAACAAAATTCCCTGCAAAAGCTCATAATATCTGTCGACATAAAAACACAACATAAACTGTACATATCATAACAGTAGATTAACCAACAACAAGCAGCGATCAACCATAATAAAACAAAGAAGCTTTCCAACGGTTAAGCTAAAAGTATGACACTACCACGTCAAAAGTGTAGAAATGTCATGCTGGAGATCATGCTAAGATAAAAGTATGGCAGCGTCGTGGATAAAATGTAACATTGTTGATACAGTAAAAGCGTAGTGATGTCATGTTTTATTTTATGTCATACTACATATGTAACAATGTCATGCTAAAGGTGTGACAATGTTACGGTAAAACCATGATACTCGATTTTTACCGTATAGTAACATTGTTACACATTTACTGTAACATTTCGGGTGCGTCTGTCCCACTCCATCAATTCTCCAGGGCGAGTGGCTGCAAAAATATGCAATGAAAATTGCCAAAATACCTCTCAGAACTCTACTGGTTTTTATATGGATTCTCTCTAGCTTGAGCATTAAAGTTGGCTTGTTGAACGTATCTAATGCTATTCAGGAAAAAAAGACTACGTATACATATACCCTGTTCTTCGTATTTTTGAATTATACTGCCATCTATCGTGGGAATCCGTTGAGACTTTGACTAACAGCAGGTTATGAGAATAACGTTAAATATTTTCTATTATACCATGTTGGCCTTCAGTAAAAAACGAAGACTACAACAAGACTTTGGTATGTAGTATGTATTGAACGTTTCCTTCAATCCGCCGCAATTGTTCATTTACTGACGAGAAGAGTTGGCGATGTCAGTATCTTGTTAACATAAGAAATGAGGAGACGCAGCAAGTGAGCAGTGCCAAGAGAAACTGGGAGAAGACGACGATGTTATAAATGAACTCGTTTGTATTGCTCTGCGTAATATCATCATATTCGTTTTCATTTTTTTCTAATAAAAAAATGAGAATAACAACAACTGTAAAAATGAAGAAAATGAGGAAACCATTCACAAAAAATGTGTGCATTTGTTTGCTTCAATAATTTTTTATAGTTTTAGATAAAATATGAAAAAATAACACATATACGTCTACACATCTGGATTTATGGATATACAGAACAGATGCAAATAGATAAATAAAGGAACTTAAAAAAGAAGAAAACGAAAGATAAGAGACAGAATCAAGAGGAGGCATGTTCAATTTGATATTAGACAAATAAGTTATTAGAGTTTTCTCTTTTAGCGTATCTTTATGTTTTTGATGTCGCATGTAGATATGTGTATGTCAGACATGAGGATACATATAGAAAAGAAAAGGTGATCTGTATGCGACATCAAGAAAAAGATCAGGATACGCTAAAAGAGAAAACTCTATTGAGAAATGAATAACCACAATGATCTATGATGTTAAACTGTTCTATTTTTTTAGCCATAGTACATGAAAATAATTCTTTTAGCAATGATGATCACAGAAGAATTTTCATCATTTTGTCTGATGTTAATTGATCAATAGTTAATGGTTGAAGATTGAAAGGATTGGTCTGTAAATTGAATAAATGTTTATTGATAACTGAACGATCCAGGACAACATCACTTGGAAGTAAAATAGTTAGTCGATACATAAGAAAATTTAAGAAATATGGTACTTACAGTTTTTATCTACGAATATTCCCATTAATACAAAATACATACCACAAAATTCATCCGATGATCAGAATAAATCTATTTCTTGACACGCTTTTTCTTCAGCAATCCGTTTTACACGATAACTTAACCGGAACAATGTTTTCATTCTAGTCGATGTTGCTGAATATCGTTTGTGAATTCTTTCAGTAGTACTTGAGAATAAACTGGCACGAAAGGATCACTGAAAGAATTAAGGCTATCATTTGATTTCTAATCAGTTTCTTCTTATTTCATATTTATCTCATCACGTGCTAAACTTCAACAAAATGATTAACCTAAAAACAAATAAGAGCTTCTTTTATCTTTAACTGTTTATTCAAATAAATACATGTACACACAAAACCACATACCAAAACAATGTAAATACCAATCATTGTTTCAAATAAACGTTTAGGATCAAATAAATATTTTGATGGGTCTTTGATTTTTAACATTTTACAATTGGTACTAGACAGTTCATTTCAAATAAATTTAGAAGTGCTGCTAAACGATCAATTAAATCCTAGAGAAAGAAAATTTTTGAAATCCTAGAGACGAAAACATTCTCAAAGAAATAACAATAAGGCAAGACTTACAGGTGAACATAGTAGAGTCACCATTCAAATATTCGAGCATATTAAGTATCTCCATTCCTAGTGGTAAATATATATTGCATTGTCCTTCAAACTAACTTAATTGTTGTAATTTATTCGTACGTGATTCCTGAAAGAAAGGATCTTACATAAACAGTGATATTTTACTCCACTTTTAGGAGAAGAATGTGTACAGTGTTCAACCAGAATGGATATAAACTTACTGTTGGCATAATTTCTCGTTCTATCTCTCCCTTTTGATCCGTTTGACTTTCAATATTGTGTACTTTTTTCAATAATTGTAAAGTTTCATTTAACAAATATAAAACATCATCAATAGCCATATTTAAAAATCGAATAAAATCTTTTTCATCTCTAAAACAACAACAAGAATTTATTTATTAATTAATGAATTTACTTTCATCATTACTTGATGCATTAGTAAGGAGTCGAATCGAGGAGCATATATTCATGATCGTCTCGAAATCCTCTATCCAATGGTGTATAATATGTTCGAAAATAAATATCACTCGAACTTTGAATTACGTGTACCTTACGTTCAACATCTAAATTTATTCCTTAATTATTAATCGAATAAATGCATCAAAAATATACGTCTGCATATAATTTTGTCAATGCTTTAACAAGATGTTTTTGTGCTAATAAATGATTAAATAAATAGTCTGTGGGATTACGTAGTTATTGTATGATCACTATAAGCACATAACCAAATTACATTACTTCAACAGTTTTCACAACAATATAAGAATTTTCAATATCATTTCGACTACATGTAATAGCCAACATCAATGTCGGTATATCATCGATACTTCGTCTAGATAAACATTGAGGTACCATTCTACGAATAACAACACTTACATACATTAAAAATTTCAATATTATTGATTGATAATCTGCAACTGTTACATACTCTTGACAGTGGTTCTCACTCAGAGCTCAACGATAGATAAAGTTACATCGAAAACTTCGTTAAATTGACCGTACATTCGAAATGTGCAACCCGACCTGTACATGTACCCGATCTGAAGGTTCGGGTATGAAGTTGTCGGATACGGATTCCGTTTTTTTTAAATTTCCCAGAACACGGGCAGGTTTGCGTGGAAAACCACAAAAGTTTAGTGAAAAAATACAAGATTTCAGCTAAAATACATGAAGATTTAAAAGAGTTACTTGAGAACGTAATGATAATTTGACATCTCCAGTTGAGAAATAAAAGTTTTAAAAAAATAAAATTTTAGTTGGAAAATGAAGAGGAGAAAATTTTTAGACATAAGTCGGGCACAGATAGGAAAATGGTACCCGTGCACCTCTACACCAATTTTCATCATAAAGAGATATGAGATCAATAGATGTAAGGACCATGTTAAAAGCGTCAATCACATAAACTATTTTGTTATTGTACACTTTTGTTCAATGATATCTGTACAATTAATACCTTTGTTTGACAGTAGGCGTGTCATGGATAGATACATGGCGTTTTCTTTTGTATGTAAAGCGACAAGAAAAAAAAAGAATTTTTTTAATGATAAATGATGAAATAAGTCAGTGTCTTGATTCAACACAGCACACATTACTATTTGATCTTCCACGCCTGTTTTCTTTTAACGTAAATCTTCATCGAAGTCACCGACGATATATACATATCCATTAAGTGCACAAACAGAGAGTTTGGTTTGAGTGCAAGGATGCAGGTTTTTTTTTGTTACTTTCTCATCTTTGTTGTCAAAAGACATAACATAGAAATAGATAACTGTGGTGAACGAGACAATACATTATGTAGTTGTCAAGCAGATTTATATTGCGTTATGAATAGCCATAAAGAATATTATATGAAATGAGAACATCCACCTGAGAAAAGCGTTAGAATAAAAAGAGAAGTCGCAATGCGCATGACCAATAAAGTGTAACGATGAATACTCACGTTCATTGTGCAAGAATAAACTCATTTATTTATTTTTACACGAAGATAAAAAAAGAAAGATTGTTAAAACAGTAAATTATAGAACAATACTTGCATAATTTCAAATATACTAAATATGAATCAAACGCAGCCAATACCAAGTCTGTTTTATTTTTCCTCTATTTTAACGATGTTAATTAATTTCAAAAAATGTCTTTTTTCTAGCACAATATCCACCGCCAGGGAAAGTAATGGTTCTTGAACAGCATCATCGGCACCACACACGTCACCATCATCATCACCAAAATGCTGCTGAAAATACTCAGCATCAACAACAACCTACACATAGTTATCCGCAAATACCAACGGGACCCTATGGACAACAAGTTCAGCAACACCCGACAGTACAAATCGCACCGCAACAACAACATTTATATCAAGGTGTTCAACCAACAAGTTCATTCCATTCTGTTTCAAGTATCGATTCTTCCGCAGAAATGTCAAAATACTTTCCAGATGCACAAACTCCAAGTCTTTCTCCCTTTAGGTAAATTTCTTGAAGCAATATGTCCATTTTCTGTACAATTGAATCAATTATAACCATTTAGAAACTGAAAATTGCTTCAAAATTTAAATAACTGCTATAAACTTTATGAAAAAAGAGTGTAGATCAACGTAAAACCTCATTCACAAGTAGAGTTCTTTATTTTGAACATTCTACGATCATGTTGACACTGATTATAAATAGGGATGTACCAACACTTGCGACCTGATCTCAAAGATTACTTATTTTCGATATTTAAAACTTTCAAGCTTTACCAAAACTAGCACCTTTTTATTGACTTTCATCAATTTTGACACTAGTTCCAGGTAGAGTAGAGAAAGCTGGTTAAGTTTGACGTAACAGCTCGATGGAGTCTGAGAATTTTGAATATAAAAAATAAGCGATCTTTGAAATCAGGTTCCAGGGTTTGGCACATTCCTAATTATGATGACATAAGTGTTTCTAATATGATGAAAGAATTCATTGCGGAAGTGTGTGGGATAAAACGTTTTTTGGTTGCTTTTTCAACCCCGAACACTCAGTACTATAAATAAAATTGTTTTATTATGTCTTATAATTTGATCATGAAAACAATCTTATTATCCAAAGAAGAACATCGTTACTTTTTCATTAGGAGATGATTATTAATATAGGTGTAAGAAAAAGTTGATAAATACTGTTTGATAATCGATTTTTTGCCCTTAAACTTATTTTTAAGACATCATCAAGCGCAAGTAGATGGTACCGAATCATCTCATAAAACACAAGCTTCAACAGTAGCAACAAGTTATGGAACAAGTGTTACTAATGGGCCTTATACAAATGTACAACAGCCACACCAACAACAGAAACTACGACCTGTTCACACTCAAATTACGCCAATTAGACAATCAGTGGGACCTATACTACAATCCGTGCGTTCTCAACCACAACTCCGAACGCCTCAATCCACAAGTACCTATCGAACACCTGGTTCCCAAGTAACTAGTCGTCCGTCCAAACCCCAGGGCATTACAGGTGCTCCATCAATAATTGAAGGCATACAAATATCTCAGGCACTTGTCAACGATGTATTAGTTGATTTACAATCAAAAGTTCTTAATGAATCTATGCAAAATTTTTATGAAGATGGATCAGGTGGTACTCATATGGGTAAAAGTTTTCTACTATTATAAATCGTATGTCAAACCTTATTTTCTGTTACTTTTTAGAACCATTACCACCAATCTACATATCGGCTCCGCAACCAACGGTTATACTTGGATCTGATCTACAACGTTTACGAGCTGAATTAGGCAATAAAAATAAACGACCAGGTAAACACAAACGAGATAGAGAAAAACAACTTTTCCTTTATTCAAAGTGAAATTTCACATTTTTTTAGTTATATATCGTCAATTGAGACAAGATTATTTAAGAGATCAACAAACAATGGCTAGAGCACAATTGAGGGCAAATCGTCCAACTTCTTATCCCACAAGTATGTATTTCATAAATTTTGCACATATATGAAAAATTAAGCCATGTTTCCTTCATTTAGATTGCTACCCTACACCCAAATACACATATTTAAACAGGTATATCCCATATCAATTACGAGTCGTAAATATACAGATAGAAACATCCATACACATTGTTCTCCTTCATATAACTTTAACAAGATGCCACTTCTTAGGAGAAAAATTATCACACTTACATTTTACTGATTATAGCTGTAAAAACTGAAAGACATAATAGCTCATAATGTTCACATAGCTCATAAAGAACTATTCACTTTCATATTTGATATTTTTTCTTCTTTTTACACACACACACACACTTTATACTTCACTACCACACCGACGATTGCGAAGGACAAATGTTATGCCAAAAGATGCAGAATTTCAAGCTCACTATTAGTTAACTAATACGAACTTAGACATGCACCAATTCCAATACGCAAACATTTCTAAAGATCATTATTTTTCACTGTTAAGAGCCTCTAATTCCGACCATGTTTTGTTATAAGAAAAATCCAATTTCATCTCTTCTAGTGAAGTACTATAAAACGTAGATAGAACAGTGTTTTTCTGGTCATAATTGATCTTTACTCTTACATCACCTAACAAAAACCTGTGTTTTGCGAGATGTATTTAAAAATGTGTGTGTGTATTTTCTAAATCATCTTGTTATTTGTAATTAAATTGTAAAAACCAATATATCCTTTCATAAAATATTAAATTTTTTAATTATCTTTTGAACTTAAAATAAGAGTTTTAAGACAAATTTAAGTAAGAAAAAAAAGCAAATATAAAAGTGAACAATTCTTTAAGAGTCACCAGTTAGATAATCTTTTGCCTATCTTGTATGCTCACAATAAGTTTTCGGTTTTAGACCAATGATCAATTCTTGAAAATCATATAATCTATACAAAGATGTGGTTAGATATGAAGAATAAGAGATATTATTATTTACTCATTCAAAATATGTGTACACAAATAACATTTTATTAGGTTTTAGTTTTAGTTTTTATATGTATATCAAATATATTATTGTATTACATTATTCTCTGGTGTAGTTAAATAAAATTTGCTTGATGCACCTATAAATACACACATACACATAAACAACTAAATACACTAAAATATGTAGCGATTTAATTTATTTAGTCAGATAAACAAGTCTCTTTTCAACATATAGCCGAAGATTAATCACCATTACAAACAAGTTCAGATGTTCAAAATGATATCGGATTATTGACTGACGATACTCATTATCAACAGTACTCCATAATTTTTCAACAAAAAACAAATCTCTATCAAAAACTTATGAATTAGTCAACGTTTTCTACAAATGAATATGTAAATTATAGTGAATCATTTTATAAACAACCTGGATTCTGGTGAACGAATGTTAGCCAATCGAGCGTAGAGTTGTTTTTTTAGTTTTAGACAAAATATCAATTCGAATAAACTTTTTCTATTCATCAGAACAGCACGTTAAACAATCATCATCATTATTTGATAGTAATAAATACATATCATTCAATTTAGTTCCAATACTAGCCTCTCAGCAAGGAACTCTTCAATCACTGCGCTGCAATGAATACATAAAAGTGTCATCTAATAGCAACGAATGTCTAAAACAATGTTTAGAAACAAAACAATGAAGAAAACATACTGTAATCAAGCAAATTAAATTTGATGACGATCATCGTATTCATTATTTGTCCAAAATACCAAATGAAAATTCGTAACAATTTGATATCAATGGCAGTTTGAAGAATTTTGAGACTAAATACACAAACCCAAAAGTCACATAAATTAAAGTTCAAGAATCAATATCAGATTTAGCTCCTGTATCGATAAAAAATTAGATGTTTTTATTTGGATCGTTTAATAACTCGCATTTCCTTTACCCACTCATTAAAAACTTGTACAAGAATTTAACATAAATGAATACTTGACAGTTTTGAGAGGTGACAAGTTGCATCAATGAAAAACCAAAGAACCAAATTTCAGTTTTAATCATAATCTCCATTTATGACTCAATACGGACTATTAAGCACGTTTGGTAGTTGAATGAGTTCAATATTGAAGCAGACATAAAACAATTGGAATTTGAATAACTTAATAAACTTTTTTAATTTTATCTTACAGATTATGTTAATTTGCATTTGATTTTCATATTTCGCTGTCACTTACATACAACCGCAACGATGTCGCAGAAAACTGATTTCTTCAGAACAATATTGTAATATGATGACGAAATGACGCTATTCCTTTTCTATATTCACTATCAATTCATGAATATGACATACATATTATTCAAAACTAATTACGCCACTTGTTATCCTGAACGACAAGACTTTCATCTCAATAAACTCTTAGGAACAGAGATTAAAACATTGGAGTTTTTTTTATAAGACAGTTATGATTTACGAGTATCAGTCACGTTATAACCAAACTATGTTTGACCATGATGAACAGTAAGATTTTCTACTATCATCTATAGATATGTCGATGCCACAAAAGTAACAAGTACAAAATCGGCAATGAAACATGACATCAATAACTATGAGATTTTGTAGAACTATTATATCCTTACCCATGCAATTCACTCATTCGGAAAAAAGACGAACACCTTTATAGTCATATTGTCGTACACAAAACTTTGAATACAGAATCAAATAAATGGTGCACAAACATATCGACAATCCATCGTTGATTTTTATTAGCAAAGGTCGCCTTGCTCATCCTCCTTCTGTTCTCAAGTTAAAAATGACTTTACAAACCCGTTTTGTATTGATAATGTATAAATCAAGGATGTGAAAGACAAGGTAGATAAAATAATTACTATCAAAATGACTGCTGATAATCACTAAAATATCCTTATCATTCAATATTCCTCGTCGACAATAACAGAAGAAACAAGATATTCATTATAGATCATCAATACTCAATCATCCAAAACGAAAACTTTGATAAGAATAAAAACGATAATAAAAAAGTTGTAAATCTAATTCATTCAGAACGCTAATGTCAGATAAAGACTATCGTTAGATAAATCAACCGAGACATTATTCAAGCACACAAGACAATCACATTACCTTGATGAAACAATGTAATATCAGCCAGACAATCACTAGGGATCTACGACCTCCGACACTGCTGTTGCTGACATAAATTGAGTATATAACACCTTGGTCTATGCAAAAAGAAAAAAATTTTTCTTTTACATCATTCGATTATCATCATACTAATTTAAAAGATCCTTCTGAACTAAAACATTCGTTCATTTTCTAAAACATTACAATTATTAATCAGCAGTCTCTACCCTTGTCATCAACGAATATTTGAAAGATCATTGGGGAAGAAAAAATCATGTCTAGAGTATTCTCAACACCGAGACAATTAAATAAAGAAAGATCAACATACAGTCAGATGCAACATCCATCTTGGGTATTAGATGATCAACTTTCATACGAAACATATCCAACATCGAATGATGCAAGATTTGATCCACAAATGGGCATATACACAGTGCCTGATTCAGAAACAGCCAAATATGCACATTTACCACCACATTTAAGACAAGAATATGCCTATTTCACATCACCATCAACATATCGTTCCCCACCTCCACCACGACGTTCATCAACGTTGAGAAGGAAAATTAGTCGACAAACAGAACCGTATTGTTGTACGTGCGGTGGTGTGTCCGGCAAAACTATAGTAAAAAACGTTTTCTATAAACAACAAGGTTAGTGAAAAATTCAATTTTTTCAATGTTCATTGTTTTTTTTGTTTTTCTATCACTAGAACAACAAGAATCAGATTCACAATATGACTGTGCCGATCTTTTGAGAAAATTACAATCTCATGTTAGAATAAGATATGGTTATGGCACCATGAATAGCGATGAACCATACGCTTTAGGTAATGAGTAAGATCAGGGATTCTGATTAGAACAGATAACAAGGGATCTTTAAGATTTGATACTGTCCGGCAATTTTTTGGGAATGTTTTGATCTGCCAAAAACTTGTCGAACATTTTTATGACTACAACAAACGTCATGTTTATCATGCAAGTAATTGAACTGACAGACTGTAAGAGACCGATAGCGATTATAAACAGCTAGTTGAGGACACTCGAAATCAATAAGGTGCCGGTCAAAATAACTGGTAGAAAGTCTTTTAAATTCTGTCAAATATTAGTGTACGGAAACAAATATGTCAGTTTTCAAAAAAACTGAACTGTCTGTCAGAAAAATTTTGCCGCTTTGGCTAAAAACAATCGGAAACACTGAGCAAATCTGATAAAGTTTTAATTTATATTTACAATTGAATTTTTATACTTAATAGATGATTATCCATGCCCAGATAAAATCGAAGTATTCTTGGTCTTCATTTTCTGAAGTAATGATACTAGCCCAAGGTCTAAGATTGTCAAAAGTCATAAAAATTGAATATTCAGACATTCTTTTTAAAAATTTGAACACATATCTATCAACACTCCATTATGAAAGAGCTGAAAAAAAACGATTTTACTTACACCAGACGGATTGAGCTGTTATTCTAATCATTTTTTTTGTCTAGACATTAATAAATCAATAGTACATATACTTTTATAACATTTTCTGTGTATGAAACAGTTTACAAAGCGTTAAGCTACGTGTTATGGTTAAAATGGAGGCTAAGATCGCAAAAATACCTTCTAAATCATACAATGTATAAACACGAAACGTTTCTAAAGTATAGAAGTATAGTTCATTATTGATTTCCCAAAGTTTCAGCTCAATCCATCTGATACAACTAAAATCGGTTTTTTCATTTTTCTCATAATGCTAGAAAATATCAAAACTAGATAAACAAATAATTTTCGTTTTTAGCAAATTACAATGAATTAACACGAACACTTGATTTTCCTGTTTATGTGTCCAGTTTTCAAGATAAAACTTTAATACCACTTCCTGCATATTAAATTTATTTGTTTTATCTGCATATATTAGCGATATTTCATTCTTTTTCGTTTATTCGAACATTTAATACGTAATGCAATTTTTTTCTAAAAAGAAAAATTTTCTTTTCTTCTTCTTACAAATCTTTAATTTAAATTTTAATCTTTCCAAATATGGTTATTCTTGGCAATCGTTTTGATTGTTCTTCTGTTTATTATAAGTTTTCCAATGGCTCTATATAAATATAAACAATTAGATTAGACAATAATTAGCCAATTACTTACGATTTTAATAATAGAATTTATTTTATCGTTACCTTTTTCGTGTGGTAGATATTAAACCAAAACGACTCAAATACGATAAACATTCTATTATATATTTCATGTCTTGTAGTTTGACTGCAAAAATAAACCAATATTATACATTAGAACGAAAATGGTTTCAGTTTAAATATTTATCCATTTTATCATAGAATGTTCACTACTCGTCAATTGTACAATGAATACGAGTTTGATCTTTTGGTATGAATAGTTTATTGTTTATTAGTTAAATAATTGATATCAATCTAACAGAAATTGATTGGTGAATGATTAATGATATTTAAAAAGATACAAATATACTCTTTGTACATTACCAATAATATAAACTATTACAAAAGAAATGTTAAACACAATACTATTATCAATAACTTGACTCTCATCAGTTTGATTAATGTATAAACTATCAGAAGAATGAAAGTCTGTCTTTAATTTACAAGCTAGAAATGAGTTGATTCTATGTGTTGTGTAACACATTCTTATCCCTTTACTTGAATAAAATTCCATTTTAAAGTCCATTGTATAAATTTTTGTACATATAGGCAGTACAATTTTTGTGCATCAACGTTTGTGCTTTGTTTAATTACGTGACACATATGTTTTTTTAGAACATTGATACTATTACCATTATTCTTATCATCATTTTCTTCTTGTGCTTTTCTCTTCCACTGTTAATATTTGTTAATTGAATGCCTAATAAATCAATATCATCTTTCGCAAAATATTGAATATCGGGTAGCGCAGAATAAATTAGACTGTTTGTATTCTCAAATTTTCTCCTTCTCCTTACACTTGATTGAGCTAGTTTTTTTTACCAAAAGATTTCCTGTTGAATTCTCTACAAACAAATGATTAGTCGTTATGATCGTATCTCTAAGATTTCGAAAAAAACTTTGTTTTGTTCCACCACGCAAAAAAAAGGTAACAACTTTTGCTATTTTCACTTGATCGCTGAGAAATTAATCTTTGCGTCAGATATTTAATTCAAACGATTTTCGCTCTACACGACGAGAAAGAGCGTATTTGAAACTACAGAAAAGTATACTGAAACTGTGTTTTAATGCTTGCAAAACCATTCGAAAAAATTTCGCTCCCTTTGAGAAGATGCATTTATTTTTTTAACATTTTAGTACTTCTCATCATTTCTCATGGCATTTTACATTTTCGGATTTTACAATAAAACAGTGAATACATTTTTTGTAGAGAAGTCAACAGAAAATCTTTTGGTAAAAAAGCTAGCTCAATCACGTGTAAGGAGGAGAACATTTGAAAATACAAAGTCTAATTTACTCTGTGCCACCCGATATATATGAAATAGGGGTCCTAATAATGACATGCGTTGTATTGTTTTTTCCATCTCTTAATGTTACTTTTGATAGTCAATCATTGAACGTTGTTAAATATATGATGATTTATTGCAAAAGAGATGACTAGGCCTATTGCCCGCTTTTATGACACAGTAGGGATAAGGTTAAAGATATTACAAACAAACGTACAGCTAAAAAAGCAAATAAAAAACAACAACAACACAAAAGTAGAAAACAGTTTAATCAAAAGAGATATCACAAGTTCAATAATCTATTTAAAATAGTGGCGATTGGGTTTAAACATAAACATAGTATGTTTGTTTCATACTTTTCTTGGTAAAGAAAGTAGTTAAAAACAAGATTTAGAAAGATATCATTTGACAGAAAACTTATGTTAAATATGTATAAACAATACGTTCATTTTTATTTATACTGAACAACATTCACACAATGTAACGAATATCGTGATAAACGGACGTTTTGCTCGGATAATGAACATTGTTTGACATAAGGGAAATAAAAATTTCACGAATGAAAAACTTTCTGAAAGCTTGTAATAATGTAGATAATAAAATAAAACATAATGTGTACACAGAGAAAAATAAATGACTTCTGAGCATTTTTTGTTCGTTGGATGAAGATGTATGAATAAATTCTAACATATAAAATATAAGAAAAGGATCAGGGAACGTTTTTTATTAGAATATATCGAGTAATTTTCATGTTTTATTTCTATAAAAAACCATTTTTATAGATAAATACACTTCTAAGTAAAAATGATAGACGTATCATGATTCTAAACATGATCCTTCTAAGATATATAATATTGTATAACGTATACACAACAAACGACAACGATTAACAAGTTCAGTATCTTTGTGCTAAACATCCACGCAATTCTGGCACACAAAATAATCGCTATGAAAAGAGAGAGGCCAATGTATTGAATTTGTTTTCTGTAAGTCTCGAGCATGTAAATATGTACGAATTGTAACTTATATCATAGAGTAAAATCGTGTCTATTCGTAAAAAAATGATTATCGTTTCTAAACAAAAACAACATCATATACGCATATCTATACACAAAATTTTAAAACTTTTTACATTATTATCGAATTCAAATTTGTTTTAGACTGAGTAGACAATGTCAGTTAGAATTGACTTTTGATTTCGAGTTGTATATAAACAGAAGAAATATGTCATGCTGTCTTGTCTTAGCATCAACGCTAGCTCTTTCATGAAAAAACGCGCTCTTCGTCTAATCTAACAAAACTTTGAATTCAGATAAATAAATGAAAAAGAACATACTTGACAATAATTCTCTCAGCCACGAAAATGTTGATAAGTCTGATAAGTTTCGTCCACTAATATATAGGTCTCCATGTACGAGACGTTTTAATATTGACTCTTCATTTTTTTGAATCTATAAGAGAGATAAAAGAATAAATTACTTGTATAAACAAAAAGAAGTCATGTTATACTCCAGATCTTCGTTTTTTAATAACTTCTCGGTCTTCCTGGATGATAAGAATTGTGTATAACTGTTAGAATTAACAAAATCAAATTTATCCACTCCTTAAAAGAAAAGAAATAAAACAAAGGAACTAGAACGACAAAATTGATAAAGAAACTTACTGTCGTTTGTCTCCAATATCTGATGATTGTGACTGAAATAATCTGAAAGGGGAACTAGAGTATATAAAATGTAATAGCATATATAATAACTGTTCATTCTTACAATATTGAATTCCACTTAGTTTCGAATGTTGCTGTTTCATGATTATTCTGATTTTTATACATCCGTTGATGTGGAACCGTCGTTTGTTGTGATTGTACTATTCATGTTTTAAAACTCAACTGAATTAATTTGACAATCTAAACAACAAAAAATAATAGTTGTTCTTCATTTTAACTACCCCATCACCATACCAAAGCCAATTAATGTACTTACTTGCTAGTACATTTGATGATTGAGTTAATAACTGTTGAGTGCAATTTAATAAGGGATTAGATGGTTGACTGTAACGTGTTTGTCGTGACGTTGTTACTTGAGAGCTCGATTTTGATAAACTGGAAAGTTTTTCTAAACGTTTCTGCCACATCTTAGAAAAAAGAAATATATCACGAATAAATCTCTTTAACAAATATTATTTACTTCTTCTAGATTCAAAAGAGACAATGGAACTGATTCATTCGGATCTGAATCCGTTATTTCACTCATTTTGATCTACAACTATTTTAAAATAATCTAAAAATAAAGATAAAAACCATCAGAAAGAATTTTTAAAAAAATCATTCATAGCAACTGTAAATCACACAAAAACGATTATATTCACACTACTATAGCATTATTTACAGAAACAAATCTATCTTCTAGAAATAAAAAACAAAAAAAGAAAACAGATCTAAATCAACATTATTTACAATTTCATACAAAAAAAGTTATCGTTTTTTTTGTTAAAGTCGATTGTTTATTTACAAAAAAATGTTACATTTTACTCGTTAATGTTATCCACATAAGAAAAACACAACCGATTACTGGTACAATACACGAGATGGGTTTTACAAACCATAGATGATTTCTTAGACCAACGGGAATTGTAGCTGTCACCTCTTTTGGAGATTCAATTCCTGTATGAGGTAGTGGTGGTGGACAACCGGCACCTAAATATGGACATCTCTCTGCTGTGAAATGAATAACTGGTTCAGGTATTAATAGCGTTTCAAACAAATTGTTATCATCAACTGGATCTAAATAACGAATGTGGATATTAACTGAAAATTCTTTCGGATTTCTGAAGATATTATCTGTTGAATTATAAAGTACGAAACAATAAACAAATGGATGAGAATTGGATGCTGATGATTCAATATCAATTGTACCCATAATTGTTGCATTTAGACGATACAAATCTTCAGGATCAACATATAAATATTCTGGTAGACGATGCCATACAAACAGACATTTTGCAGGTTTGTTTATATCTGGTTCAATATAATAGTCGAGAAATTTATGGTAGCCCAAACCTCGTATACGGCTTGTTATTGTCGGTGCACATTGAATAGACCACATACACAAAAGCAAAATGAGAAGAACAATGTTAGTTTGCAACATCTAGAAATAAGCAAGAATAGTAACTTTAAAAAACTTACAGAATTACAACAGATTATTCCTACACACCTGAGTAAAAACTGCTAAAAGTAAAAGGATTTCTCAGAAGTTGATACGAAAAAAGCTAATCTGCTTCAAGTTTCTAGTAACCCAAAAATTTTGTATTTGCCATGTTACAGCTTTTTAGAGTTTGGATTTCATCGCCATGGATATTCTGTTTGCGAAGTAAAAATGTCTGTAACTCTAAACGGAGCCAGTTTTCACGAAAAATTTGAGACGGTATAGTA